GCATCCCATATTACCACTCCGTTCCTGACGACAGATCGTCAAAATCAGAAACAATCATCAACTTACAGGTAAGTCTCGATTGTTTCTACAATTAATCAGTACATTACTATATCTTCTTATTTTTGGTACATCTCAACTGTCCTTGAATAGTAAAAGCTATTTTATTTTCACGAAATTTAATGTTATAGAACCAATTATTTTCTTTTTATCGCAGGCAAATATTATAGAGACAGAGGTTTTCCTGTTTGTTGGGCTCTTGCATAGCTTTTCTTGTTGTTATTGTTGGTTGTTGTTATTGTTGTTGTGGTTGCTGGTGGTCGCGGTGCTGTTGTTGTTAGTGTTATTGTTGGTATTATTGGTACTGTTGTTGTGGAGGTTTTGGTGGTGGTTGTTGTTGCCTCAAATGTGCCACAACACCGTGCGTAGTCAACCCCACCACTCGTCTTTATTCCTTTATTCTTTACCCCCCCCCCACCTCTCCCTCACCTTTCCAAAATAAAAAGAAAGAAAGACAAATGGGGAGACGAAAACAACGTTGTTCCGGATAATGTGGTGTTCCTGTGTGTGACGGCACTTGAGCCCCCATCCTTTGTCTCGTTCTGTACCGGTCGATAATGGTCCTATTGATCCTCGTCCAGCTGTGCTGGTACCCCCAAGTTCATAAACTGTTCACTGATTGTTGCGACATATCTGGCGCTTTCATGCACGCAGATACATACATTTCCACATATAAAGATACACACACAAACACACACACACATACTTACGCATACACACACACACACACACATACACACACACACACACACACACACACACATACTTACGCATACTTACGCATACGCGCTTGCGCGCGCTCACACACACATACACACACACATACACACACACTCACACACACACACAGATTCACACACACACTCACTCACACATGCACAAACTCTCTCTCTCTCTCTCTCTCTCTCTCTCTCTCTCTCTCTCTCTCTCTTCCCCTTTCTTTCCGCTCTCTCTCTTCTCTTCTCTTTCTCTTCTCTTCTCT